TTTTTTTTTTTTTTTTTTTCTATCATCCCCGGTAATTGTATCGTTGCGTTTCTCCTAGGGGCAGCCGAACTGAGGTTCAACGAGCAAGAATGATTGACTTATTTATCAGCTGTCGAGGCTCGTCTACCTTTTTTGCGAAACGTCACTCGGTCACGCGACACTGTTCTACACAGTCTCGTTTCTTCTTTTTTGTTGCAACGGCGAGTGGAACTATCGTATTATATCGCGCGATTTACAAATTGCATTCGACCCTAGAATTATCTTACGTGAAAATTGGAAACAGAATTACACGGCTCCTGCGCTTTCGTTCTTTCGTATACGAAAAGACACTGGTGAAAAATACGACGAGTCGTGTTTCTCGTTTGATATAGAAGAGCAATTCTAGAATTGAATATGCGGTAATCAGCTCAGCGTCGAAGCTATCTTTACACTTGATTGAATTGTTAAATTAAATTGTTTCAAGACGTTTTATCGCCTATCATTGTCATCAAATTGTGTTTTTCAACTATTTCACGTTGAAATAACTCCTTCTCAAGTAACTGAAAAATTGAAAAATCTTCAGTCTTCAACATTTAAAAAATTCAATTTTGATTTTTGCAGTTTAAATGATCAAAATTCTGTATTATGTATTACACTAGTAGTCCTCCGAAGATAAAGTAACATGATACACGTACGATTGAATATTACAATTATATTATAAGAAATACTACAATACAATGTTCTAATTCTTCTTTTCTTTTAACGAGTGAGAATCATATCCCTGTAGAGAATTATGTACACAATTTATTTGTTTATCACGCTACCAAGTGTAAAAAATTTTTCCTAACCAAGTGTTTCAAGAAAAGAAATTACGTACGTACAATGTTGGCTCGAACGACCCTATCTCCCCCCGTCACGTTCTTTCATGCAAAGATCTTCACGTAAAAAATTATCCCGCCAACGACAAATCGAACAGACTAATTTCACGCTCGGGAGTACGATACAAATCCTCCGCTGAAAGCGGAGAGAGGAAAGCGAGACGACGCGCCGCGTTACTTTAAAAAACGGATCGCTTTCGCTGCGTGTGCACAGTCAGGTGTTCACCGAGGATGAGGGAGCGAGGGGTTGACCGCATCAAGAGAAAGGAACGATGCACGAGGGACATCGCCGGGTTTCGATTATCGTCGATAACTCGGCTGGATGTATCCCTTCCGTACTATGGCTGTAGTTCCCGGAAATTCGCTTCGCCCTCAGGATTATCCCGTCCGGAGAATTCCCATCTCAACGCCATGCTACGGTTATGCGCCCTTCCCGGTTACCGCGATCCGTTCAACCCTTACTTTCGTCTCCACGGTCGCCGGCCCCTTTGTCTTCGAACCCCGAGCCGCGATTTGTCCCGAATTACTTCCACGAGAATATTACGTTGCCTCGTTCTCACCGAGAGGGAAGAAGAGGCGACGCGCGATCAACGACGAATCCGCCCCCCGAAGAAGCGAACGAAGATTATGATCGAGAAATATTCGTCGCGGATGGAAATCGAACGATCAGGCTTGTTCACGCGGACGTCTGCGGTATTTGTTGCAGAATGCACGTTTCCACCGAAATGGGAGGGCACCTGGTTCCAGAGCGGAGTCAGACAGCCGATCGTGATCTCCAGGAATGAATTGTCCAGCAAGGGTAGGTGCCTGCACAACGAGGGCGACAAGTTCCTCCTGGTGGACCAGTGAGTATATTTTGATTCAGCTTTTTTTGTACCTTGTAAAACGTATTGATCTATTTTTTGTTGGAGTTTCTTTGAGTAATTAACCTCTTCAGGGACGAATTTTTCAAAGAGAAGAGAAAATCATTTAACTTTTTGTCTCGTGTGGCAAGTTTTTTGTTTTTCATTGTTAATTGATTCCGCAGTGAATAGTTCCCCAACGGATTTTGACTTGTTTCACTTGGATTAATTTTAATTTATACACGTGTGTTAACGTTCCTGAAGAGGTTAAGAATATCAGTAACATTCAAGTGTTAAATTGAGATATGTAAAAGTAATTAAGAGATGCTACAAATTGAATGTTGCAATCTCCTCTTCTACATAGGAGATTTTATATCGAAGTTGCGGATGTTCATACTATTTTATAACTAAGGAAATCAATGTAGAAATTTATCTCGTCTACTGAATATTGTAATAATGCTCTACTTTGGATTTGTTTCGTCTACTGTATATTTGAATATTTCACATATCTTTTTATGTATTTGCTAAATTTCTCGAACTTCGTTTCTCTCGCTCTTGCTGTAACTTCCGAAATTACGAGATTCTCCTGTTATCGGATTGCACGAAAAGGTGGGAGGGGGGGGGAGGGGACACGAAAACGCGGAGGGCCAATCATTCTCTCTTGAGTCACACTGAAAATCGCGGAGTGAAACGTTAAATTTGGAGATGAAAGTTTCGCGAAGCGTCGACTCGTTAGAAAGACGCGATGCAGCGGTTCGAGGCAATATGTTTTGAAAGCGCCTTCGGGCTAGAGGGAATTAAGAGCAGCGTTGCCAGTTGTTTCTTCGCGAGAGAAGTGAGCGCACGCGAGCGAAAGAAAGAGGGAGCCTCGTCGATTCGCCACGTAATGCTCGTGTCACACGAGTTGGCTGAAGTTTTTGCGGAGATTTCTATCGGGCTCGCCTGCAAAGCGTGTTCGATCGATGTAGCGTCGAGCGAGATAAAAAAAAAAAAAAAAAAAAACACGGAAATGGCACTGGGGCTGAAATCGACGCAGTGAAATTTAAACGGTAATCGTCGTTTCGTTTCGGCTTGAATACAAAGAAAGAACCAAGTGCATGCTTGTTGATTTTCTGATTTTAATACCATCTTGTGAGAGTTTCTAGCAAGTAATATCTTGATATACTGCAGTTGGAAATTAGTATATTCGTTCATTTTCAAGTGCAGTATGATTTTCGTATTTTTTAATGTAAAGCTACGAGGAAGAAATTGAATAATATTTTATAGTTGTGTGAAATAATAATGTTCTGGTAGGCCGAGCCTTTTGGGTAACACTCGAATAATATATATACAATACATAACGTTCCTCCTTGAAAGTAATTTTAAAATTCATTCAAAATCACATATTACCAAAACTAAACTAAATAACGTGAAATATATTCTCATCATATTTTTTAATCTTGATATGAAATCGAACATCAAAGAGGATAATTCTATAGAACTTTATAACCATACGGGGTGGTTAACAACAACAAAGAGTGAAATCTGTCATAAAAGAGACATCATAACAGCGATGGCAGAAGTTCGAGAATCCTGGAGGAAATATTTCCATAATAAAAATTACATTACATAGTTATTGAGCGAATTCTTCTGATCGAACGTTATCTCCTTCCAAGTAACAGCCATATCTTATCCTGCATCGTTGAAAAGACGCGCGGCTGCACGGATTTCACTCGCGTCGCGAGGTCGCGTTAATTCGGTCAATTGTTCGGCTCGATCTCGCGAATTTCAAAGTTCGTCGAGGCGGCTCTCATTAAGACGGCCGGCACTCCCGTTAATCTCGAGGACGAGTCCGCGTCGTCGCCTAACGAGAAACGATCGAGAAAACAAGGAGAACGACGCAAAGAGGTTGGGGAGAGAGAGAGAGAGAGTGAGAAGGGGGGAGGGGAAAAAAGAAGGAATCAGGGAATAGGGGAAAGCGTTCTAATTCCAGCGAGCGATATCGAATGAAAGGCTTGAATAAGAGAAACCCCTGTTTCCGTTCTGTTTCAGAAAATCCTGCTACCGTTGCGTCGTCATTCACGAGAAGCACTCGAACGTTCTCCAGTACAAAGAAAGTAAGTACAATCCCGAAAGAACATTGCAAGATGCCATTCCCCTTTCTTCCTCTCTCTTTCTCTGTCTCTTCTTCTCTCCGATGGGTCTTCTTGTCCCGAGATACACTCGCCCCTTGGCCGTATTCTCCTCCCGTCGTCGTTGTCTTCGGTCCCCGGAGCGACCTCCTAATAGCCGTTGTTTCGCGCGATCGATAACGATTTCCCGTTGGCCCGGGGAAATCCATTCATTAATTAGAATGCCGATCGGTAATTAAAAGCTCGAAGATGACGGGAGGACGGGCGAGGAGCTGGGGACGGCGGCATAGCTGCCGGAATAATTCTCGGGGAAGAACTTAACGACTTTCGTTCGTTGTGCAAACGGGAAGACGAGGACGAT